ATCACCTAGCTAACCCCCCATATGCATAAAACATATTCACAAATTGTCAGCTATTTGGCAATGTATGAGCAGATGGTTGTTCACTTCAGCTTCCGGTTCACACAAGCACCTTGAACAAATTTGCATGCCTCTGTTCTGTAGATCCTCATGAGTAAGACATATTTTTCTGATTAGTATCCAAACAAAACATGAGACTTTCAATGGACATTTCACCTTCAAAAGCAGTTTCTAGGGCCATCTCTCAATCAGTGGGACATTATAATTCATCTTCCAATAGCTTGATTTCACTATATAGATCCTTTTGTTGTGTATTTCCCATATTGGCTTATCAAACCTCTAAGAAGTACCTGGGAAATCATTAAGAACCCCTAATAGCTTGGCAACCTCCTCAATTTCACAATCATTCAATGCTCTCCTAAAAAGTAGATTCCAACCCTGTTTACTCCAGACTTGTTCCACAGTGTCATTTTTCTGCATACTCAATGTATATAGAAGAGGTAATAGGTTTCTCAAACTGTCTTCCTCTATCTATATTTCATTCAAGAACTCTGTCTTCAGTCCATCCCCAACACTAATACATATGTTGTTTTTGAAATGTGGCCATAGTCATCTAATGGTCTTCCAAACACTACATCTAAATGTGCCATAACCTCTTCAGTTGTCCACCGGTTAAATAAATCATACTTTCCTGATATAAATCTTCTCCATATGGCTCTATATTCTATGCAGAATCTCCATAGCCACTTTTGGAGTAAACTACTATTTTGGAGACTTAGGTTCTTCAATCTTAGCCTCCTTTGTTTTTGCTAAGTGTGAGAGTATCCCACTTCACCAAGTTGCAGCCTTCCTTTTCCTTGTTGCCTTGCCAAAGAAAAGATCTCCTGAGCCTATTTATATTCTTCTCAATGTTCTTGGGGACTGGAAATAAACTCATCATATAAGTAAATGATCCATCTAATACTGATTTGATGAGGGTCACCCTGCCACCCATGGACAAATACTAGCTTTTTCATCGGGCTAGTTTCTTCTCACATCTCTCCAACACCACAATGCACACTTCCAGCACTTTGTTCTTAGCACCCAAAGGTAATTCCAGATATTTTGTTGGTTGTGCATCTACCTAGCAACTGAATGTCTCAGCTAGGCCAAGAAAATTGTCAACTAAGTTGATAGGGAGGAGATGACTCTTCCACCAATTGACATGGAGGCTTGAAATGCTCTACTAAATAGTGAGTATAGCACTTATGTGTCTAATCTGTGCCTCCTTTGCATTACAGAACATAAGAGCATCATCAACATAGAAAAAGTGTGTGATCTCCAGCTCCTTCCCTCTCCTAGCAAGTGCACTAAATCCTATCCCACCCATTAGTCTTTGCCTTCAGGAACATGTGATTCAACCCTCCATGGCTATTAAGAATAGGAATAGGGACATAGGATCTCCCTGTCTAAGACCGCTCTGAGATTGGAAGAATCCTTCAGTGTTTCCATTTATGAGGAGGGAAAACTTCACACTTGAAATGCAGATGCAGTTATTGATCCAGCCAAACCACTTGTTACCAAATCCCATGTCCTTTAGAGTTTTTAGAAGGAAATTCCAGTTAACATGGTCATAGATTTTCTCAATGTCTAGTTTGCATAGAATCCTCAGTTTCTTCTGCTTTACCGTGGAGTTGACCAATTCATTAGCCAACAACGTTGCATCCATTATTTGCCTACATCTCAAAAAAGCCATTTGGTGTTCATCAACCAATTTCACTATCACTGTCTTCATTCTCTCAGTTAGCAACTTGGAGTTGATTTTATAGACTACTCCTATCAAACTGATTGGTCTGAAGTCTTTTAGCTCAATTGCATCAGGTTTCTTTGGGATTAAAGCGATGAATGTAACATTAAATGATTTCTCAAACGCACTCCTCTGATGGAAATTTGTATACTCAACATTAAGCCCTCTTTCAAAATATCCCAACATTTCTTAAAGAAATCCATAGTGAAGTCATCAGGGACATGTGCTTTGTCCCTATCACACTAGTTGATGATTAGTAGCACTTCCTCTTCTGTAAATGGTCTTTGTAACCATTCATTTTCTTCTACAGAGACTGTTGGATATCCTACAAAACAAAAGAGGGTCTCTAGGATTCAAGTTCTGAGTAGAGTCTGGCATTTAATACAGATGACAGGGTAATAGAGGAAGTTGCTTTAATGGTTCCAAATCCCACAATGTTATGTGTTGAGCCATCAACTACCATTACTTGAGAGGGTGCTTTGTGTGGTCGAAAGGTAGAAAATATATTTGGATTACGTGTCATGTGATTTGTAGTACCTGAATCAATCACCCAGTTGTTCAAAGAGGAGACCGCATATGCTTTTCTTGAATCAACAAGGGTAGTAGTTGAAATGAATTCTTTAAAGGATTATCGATACTAAGAGGACTCCACAAACTCATTCGCCGAAACCAAAATTGTCTTACCCTCATAATTTATAGCCATATTTACTCCTTTCTAATTGTTTGAGTTATAGTTTCCAACATAAAATACCCAAAATATCAATATATGAGAAGCCAACAAACACAAACAATACCAACAAATACAATCCAGTACTGAAAAAGCAATTCGTTAATATCAAGACATGCAAAATTTTATGGGATTAAGTCCATACAAAATTTGAACGAAGTTATAAATTCACGACATTGACCCAAGTCAACATTTTGGGTTAATAAAGCCGGTTTAATTATTTAAGTCAACATTGCATGACTTAAGTCAAATCCAACTACATTGGGCTAGGTTGGGCCTCTACAAATTGGTCCCCCCACATGTTTTAAGCCCAAGGGTCCATTAGGATTACTTGGAGGCTACCCTAAAACCTTCATCAATGCCTATATAAAATAAAGGGGCTACATTTCTCTTTGGAAGCATTTTGAAAATTCTATAACATCTTTGAAGATTCTAAGATGGAATTGGACAAAGACAAGAGAGTGTTCGACTGGAACAACGGCCAACAAAGACTAATTACATAGATAACTACTCCTCCTTTCTCCTTAAGGCTTTAAGGTGAACTGTATGGAGGTAGGAAAGAAAGACGTCCTCACCTTCTTTGGTGTCAGTGAGAGCAATTTGAGTATCCCTCGTGCACCTTCTTTTGTAGATAGAATCCTTAATGAGTGGAAACAAGCAACCTTACTAAGAAAGGTGCTTGTTGAGTAAGGACGACTTTCAGGACAACCCTTGGTATAGGTTGGGCACTTGAGCGCATGATTGGTCCATTGAATATTGTACAGGCCCCTAAGCCTCTTGAGCGCAGGCATGCATACATCTTATATCATGATCATGTCAATGCAATCAACACGCCAAAGTTCATTTATTTGTTCTATTAAGTACTTCTTTCACGCCATTAGCTTTGAAATTGTCTCCCTTTGCCAGTTCACCTCAATGAAATTCTTAAGAAAAGCCTAGCTTTAGAAGGTCATCAATAATATTTGATTCTAAGAAATTAGCAACCAATTCTCCCAACAAAATAATTGTAGTCGATATTCAAATATCAGATTAATTTGACATAAGGATCAAGCATCCACAAAACACTATTAATTCAATATTGAGCAAAACTCAACAAATCGTGACAACACCAAATAGAAACCAGATCTAAATCACAGAAGCTTCAGGGAAAATATGAGCTTGTAAGTAGTTTTCAGAAAACAATATGAACCTAGAAGCGAGGAAGAGTTACCCAAACAGTGTTTCAACACTAAACAAAACTCAAGGTATGTCGAAACTTATAAGACGACCGGATGTTCAATCTTTGAAAGATTTTGATGGAGCACGCGCCTCCACACGTTGACGTGTGACTGACAGACGAGAGATGTAGGTGGTGCGTGGTGGAAATTGATCACTTTGAAAGTGATCGAAAGGATGCTCTGCCTACTCCCACAGTGGCGGTGACACAAATTGACTGAAAGTGATTGATTCGACTCTGTTTCTGTAAGACAACAAAACAAGATCGAGTTGCCTTTCAAAACATAGCCAAAACAAGATCAAGGAACCTATAGACTCTGATACCATTGAATGGAAGTTGATGATCTTATTCCAATAGGTAAGCAAGATATAAATATAATACATTAGGTGCTAACTTAGGAAAGAAAATAAAGAGGGAATCCTACAAATCTGCTAGCTAATTATTTTTTTGTTGACCGTAGTGTTCGGGCCAATTTTCACGCACCTTGACTAATTATAAGAGATTTCTACAAATTTACTATCTAATTATGCCTATGTACATTACTAAGAATGATGTCTATATACATTTTGTAACAATTAGTTCCTTTGACCACATTTATATAAGGTAGTTGGACTTGATACGCAGTCAAAGAAAGAAAGAAAGACTTTTGAAAACTATGGCTAAAATAAGTCATAAATGTTTGTGTGACTATAGATCATCTCATTAAGGGTAAAATGAACATTTTAAAGTTAATTTTTTTACTAAAAATACAAATGTGTCATTCCTTTTGGGACTAACTAAAATGGAAAGTAAATTATATAAACTGGGATAGAAGAGTATATATATGTGTGTGGTTCCTTTTTGGTTGAATGCTTGTTTTCATAGGTGATAAAGCTTATAACTGTAGATTGATTCACTCAGAAGTTTGCTTTTACTGTGCTTTGTGATCATCAAGTTCTGCTAGGTGTGCTGACGTTTTCTGGTACTCTTCTTTAATATGCTTTGGTTTAGGAAAGTTAATTTTTAGAGATATGATTAGTTCTTTGAAGGGAAAAAGTAAGATCTTTCATGGCTTTCTCTTTTAGATTTTTTGTCATGGTTCTGTAAAGCTTTCCTTTTTCGATATGCTTTGATATGCTTTTCCTTGAGTTGAGGGTCAATTATAAAATCTTATTTTAGATGCACAATATTTATGGTAGTTTTTGGTCATATACTAACACTCATCCGTTTTATGAATCCTCTTTAAGAGCTTACTTTTTTCATGTTTGTGCCTTTCCTTGTAGATCTAAATGAAAATGAACACCAATCAAACATGCAATAACTCCTTCTGGACTAAGGAGGAGGATAAACTCTTTGAGAATACTGTTGCGGTCAACAAGGATAACAACAATCTATTAGAGGAAATGGAAGAAGCACTTCCTGGGAAATCGGCTGATGAAGATATATTAATTGAAGATATCAATATCATCGAGTCTGGATATGTCCCATTACCTAATCATCTTAAAATGCAATACCAGAATTCAAAAGCAGATGCAGAATGGCGAAAAGGGGCTTCTTGGACAGAACAGGAACACAGGCCAGTTTCTAGTACAGTTCTTGAGGACGACATGAATAATCTGAATTGATGTTTATATCATTTCTTGTAATTGATTGCACGATTTACATTTTTACTAAAACGGAATTTCCAATATTCTTATTTCTCACTGACCAAGTTGGTGTGCTTCTAAACATCTCATATATTATTGATAGAGTACACCTTCATAGATGTCATTGGTGTATTTGGTCTTCATAAAAGCTTCAGTTCTGGAGATATTTTGTGTAACTTGTAGCTAAGACAAACGATGCTTACACGTATTTCATCTAATTGAATATCACGTGAAGAGTCCCTTTTATGCTGTTCTGCAATCTTGTTTCCTGGATTAACTTCAAAGCTGATAATAACTTATTTCTCTATCTTTCCTGCTATAGGTCATTTCTCCGGGGCTTAGAAATAAATGAAAAAGGTGACTGGAGAAGTATATCTAGGCAGAAGGAGGATGCTGAAGCCACTGGAACTTCCCAAGCTCCACACACCGAGGATATGATTGGGTCTCCTTACGGAGGATCACAAGCAGTGCCAAACACTAGCAATGAGAGCATGTTGCCTCGAGAAAGCACCAATGCGGAGCAGATGATAGAAGTTGTTGGAGGAGAGTCCACAGACCATAATGCTGTTGTCAATGTTGGGTCTGATGTGAATGTTGATGCTGGAAGTTCCCTATTACCCAGCAAACAATCATGTACTGCTCCTAGCAGTGGAACTTACGGTCATCCTATCGCTAGAATTGGGAGTGAACTTGAAGCATTGCTCACTGAACCCGTGGATGAAGATAATGATATCACTACCATTTTTTATGTTGGGAAATTACCAACTTCTTATCCCGTGCTGTTTGATGCTGCTTTAAGCGGAATCCCCCGCTATTCAGCTGCAGAGGCGGCTCTTGCTCAGTTACCTCCCTTTGATGATGAAGGCATTTTTGATCCGGATGACCTGTTCACAGATCCGATGTTCTGATTTGGTGGAGGAGAGGCACTTGCTTTTTTTTTTGTGAAGACTTATGCCATTATGTTAGACAGTATTGCTCTTCTTTATCTATTCTTAATCTGCTTTAGGGAGCAAGATTTTGTGTATCTTCAAACTCTTTTGAGAGACTAGCTAGGTGGATTTTGGTTGAAAATTTTCAAAAGAAAATGGTAGCAATTTGATTTCTTGCAAGCTCTTTGTTTATGTAGTTTGTTGGTTTATCTTTTTGCCAAAAACCTCTTACAAGCTAATGGTTCAAACTAGAATCAAATGCTACTAAGCTAAGTGTATTTCTGTATTCTTATGGCTACCTTATCATAAAACATATCTAGTGTTATGAGGAGTTGTATACCAAATTGGTACGACTGAAAGAATGAGAACAATGAGTAATTTACTAACCACCAGCCCACCACCAGCGGAGTGGGATGAGGGTGGGGTGTCTGGACCGTTTTTGAGATTTTTTTATCGATCAAATGATCAAAATGCTTCTTAATGTATGGGGTGGGACTATTTTAGTCTTTCATAAATACCACTTAACCAGTATAGACCTTAATGTATAGAAAACAGTGATCCTTTTCCTTCTGTCACCAGTGTGTGCCTGCAACAATGGAGTGTACATTTTTATTGCTTTCCTTATCACGTAGTTTTGTTCTTGCAGCAAGACTCCCAGTTGGTTTAAAGTTTCGAAGGCAGCCATATATTAATTATTGGTGCAAGAGTTTCCATCAAAGGTAGAAAAAAATTGCTCTTTCTTCTCATCATATCAGATTTGGTTTTCGTCTAAATTGACCTCATTTAGAGAAAGCTTTCTCAAAGAACCGCAGTTGATGAGTTAACCAAGCTTGAAAGTTGCAACCATGTTTAGAGAGAATACTAATCTTGTCTCTTTAAAACTAATCTCAATGAGGCAATCAGGCAGTATGTCTCCTTATGGTCACATAATTCTTATTATTAATGTGCAAACATACCTTAAAAAACTGATTTTGTAGTTCGATTTGCTGCAAAACTTGATAATCAGCTCTTTGTCACGCATCTGCAATTTGAATCCAGCACTCTTTCCTTATGATGCTGAGTAAATTTAGTCCTCAATCATCGAAAGGAAACAGATGTTGGCACATCAGGTGCACAGGTACCACATAGTGTTACGAAAACTGGTGTACCCTTATGCCTTAGCTCTTATACTAAGTTCAAGTATTATACCAAATGCAACAACAGATTGAGGACCAACACAAATGAACACTCATTTCACAAAAGTGTGCTTATACTAAAGAGCTGTGGTTCAAATATTACAACTTCTTCTTGTCTCTTAATGTTGTGGAATCGAATCCACTATATAGAGTCAACTGCTTGAGCAGTTTAGCCATTTTGAGCAATGTTTCTCAACAATGGTGAGATTCATTCTCTCAGCTACACCATTGTCTTTTCATGTCTGATCTCATTGCTTGAATATTACTGCTCAAATTCCATTGTCAGTGTAGAGACGCTTTAGCTTTCAACCTGTCTCCCTTTTCACCATAGCATGAAACTTTTGGAATACTTGAAACACCGGATGTTTAGTTTTCAAGATATAAACCCACAACTTTCGTGAAGTATAGTCTAAATTGACCTCATTTAGAGAAAACTTTCTCAAAGAACGTTATTCCCTTTTAAAATATTGTCACTTCATGATAACCATAAAGAGTGGACTGATTCAAGGATGACATTAATAATATTTGTTATTATTCCCTTTTATGATCCAGTAGGAGTCAATTTTTCCTTTTTGAAGCTGTACTTGTACTAAATGTAAAGTCACACTATTCATCACATGAAGGAGTAAGTGAGCTCCGAGATGTTGAATCTGTTGCACGAGGAAGAGGAAAGAAAGGGAAAAGAAGAGTATATAAAACGTTGTGTGTATATCATAACGCCAACCTCAAAGATAGAGTCAACTGCTTCAAGGATTGACATCGATTGATATATCTGATAACAAACCTTCAAATCCACATGTCTACAAAAATATATTGGAATCTTGATACTGCTTGGTAATTTTTTGACTTAAATAAACAACACCAATGAAATGATAGTTAGAAATAATCTTACCTCACCAATAGATTAATAAACTTTAGAGAGAAATTAACTGCATCACCAATCTAATAAAAATTATTATTTCACCCTCTTTGTAAGGCTCCTTCGTGCTAGCTTCCAACTTCTGAGTTCCACAGGATTTTCCGATCAAATTTGTAGGCTTTTACTTCTTTTAAATGTCAATGGCTAGGCTTTCTTTCATGACAAGTAGACCGACTCAAATTCTTCATATACATCAAACGATCCATGAAACTGTAACCATTTCACTTGTTGATTGCAGGTTAAGTCTCCTCGGATGACAACTCAATAGCAAAACAGTCACAAGCATTGAAAACTCCTAAAGTGAGGCTCTATATATCTATATCTAAAATGACAACTTGGCCTGGGGTATAACAACTGTGTGTGCCCTCTGAACTTAATTTTTTTGTCAAAATGAATGGAAACTTGAGACCATGAGGCCGAGTTTGATAGAAATTTGTTCAACTTACAAAGCCATGCCAAATCTAAATTGTGGCAAAGCAAATCTATTTTTGAGTGCTTTAGCTGTCTTGACTCTCTTGCAACTTTCAGCTCAAGAATCATAAATCACGTATATATTCTAGCGAATACCAAATTTGGAGCATCAATCTTCCTTGTGCCACCTGAATCGTCCTTAATCTTCAAGAGAATTAGGAATTGAGATCTAGAAATAAGGTGCTTGAGATTCCATCACATGTCCACATGGGGTGATATGATATATCTAAATATTTCAGATTCTAACATTCAATAACATCCAAATTTTCTGGTGAAGAACTAGAATAATACAAGTGTTCAAGATTGATGCTTCAACACCCTGGTTTCTTGTTGTACAAATGGAAACTGACCTGATCTTTTGAAGATTTAGCAGCTCAATCTTTTTCAACCTTCTATAACAATGCTCAAGTGTGAGTTAGTGATTGACCTCCTTCACCTGACAAAAAAGTAATAACATCACAAGAAAAGATCGCATTGAAGTTGGTTATAAGCGAATTTCGTCCTCTGAATAGCTAGCTAAATAATCATTTGGCAAAGGTAGTTCTTAAATGTTCACTTCTTTTCCCTTTTATCTTGGTCTACATTCTTTGTTTCCGGGCAGGAGGTGAAGGACATAAGAGAAGATTTTTCCTGTAGGTAAGGAAGAGGCGAAAAAGGAGCATTAGTCACTGAGCCCATGGACGAAGACAATGATATCAGTTCCATTTTTGATGTTGGGAAAGCACCAACTGCTCATAGTGGAATGTCCAGATATATATGCAGCTGCAGGGGCAGCTCCTGCTAAGTCACCTCCCTTTGCCCCCTCAGCTAAACTCCCGTTGACGATGAAGGCACTTTTAATCTGAATGACTTGTTCACAGATCAGATGTTCTGATTTGATGGAGGAGAAGCTGTTAAGTTTGATATTAGTTGCTCACAACCAGATAGGCTGTTAATATTGATACTGCACTTGGTTTTTTGAAGATCTGTTTATCAATTAAATGATCAAAATGGTCCTTAATGTATGGGGTTGGACTATTTTAGTCATTTATATATACCTAGTAATCGAAATATGTGTAGAAAAAGTGACCTTTTTCCTCCCGCCACCACCTTTAATATATCATTTTTTCATACATTAAGGACTATTTTGATTACATGGTATATATGAACTAAAAGGATCACTTTTCTGTACATTAAGGACTTTCTGTTTAAACTCCCCCTTCTGACATGTTATGTGAACTCCCTGTCTTGCAAAAGTAATAGCCAATGTGGTTTTTAGTTGTTGCAGCAAATAGATTTCATGTAATACATGTCAGAGTTCACATTGAAAACAAAACACCAAAGAGATTGTCTCCTTGCAAATGTCTATTTGTTCGAGTGTGTAAATAAATTGCAAACATGATCCAATTAATAAAGGGAAAATAGTATAAAATAACAAACTATTAATTCAAAATAAATGTTATAACCACAGTTTCAATTAATTCTGATCCGTAGTAAACACTTTGTCATTCCCCTCTCTCTCCTGAATCTCGCTCGCCACTCTCCCTAAATCTCGCTCGCCACACTCCCTCACCTCTCTCACTTTATACAAACACAAATGTATAAATTGTGTTTGTGTTTGTATAAAGCGAAAGAGAACTGTATATGCAAATACAAATACATATTTCTTCGTCCTACACACTTATAATTATACAAATACAAATTTTCTCCTGCTCAATTCTCTTTTTGTTTTTCTCTCTCTTTTCACTTTATACAAACACAAATTATACAAAATACAATGTATAATTTGTGTTTGTATAAAACGAGAGATATTTGATATATACAATTATTTTAACTCGATTCAATTGTATACGAATTTAAATTTTATTTAGATATACAAACACAAATTTGTTATAAAATAATATATTGTGGATGTCGACTACATCAATAAGTTACTCCATACTTTCCTCCATTATGAAGATAACCATAACCTCCATAACCTCCACCTTTATAACCATTATTCTTGTAACCTTTCACTTCCATAACCTCCCCATTATATTCATGTTAATGTCATGTTTATGACTAACCTTTTGTATGCCTCTATGTTACACTATAAATAGAGGCATAAGGGTTCATATTGTAGACACTTGAAGATTTGGTGTACACTTGAAAGAAAGAAAGTTATCTCATATTGTTCCTCTTGTCTTTATCTTTATATTGTTCTTTTGTTCTTAAGTTTTACAACACGTTATCAGCACGAGTTGCTCATTCTCTGTCAAGAATCAATGGTAGGTATTTCTTGATTTTTATGAATTATTCTAGTAAACTTTTCGGTTGCACGGTATACTTCATATCCTATATATTATTTGTACTAACAAAGTTTGTTTTGTGGTTATTTTAAAATGGTAAGTAAATCATGATTATCTTCATAACAATGTTGAGAGAGACTATTAAAATGTTTTAATTTGTTTTAACTTGGGATTTTATATGGTTCCAACATGTTGTTCTAATTAATTAGTTTTGTTCATTTTTACTCAATTTTAAGTCAAATCAGATTATATTTATGGTATTCAATATTTATTTTTTTGGTAATGCAT